AAATATCAAAAAAATTTAAAAAAATATCAAACTTTTTAAAGTTGATATGTTCTATTTGTTTGTACAGCCCATTTTCAGCAATTTACTGACCAATCTGTATTTTATGCGATTATTTCACTGGCCGGTTTGTATATTTTTCAGATTCCATGATTTCTTTAAACATATTTGCATGGTATTATTATAACTTGACTCCAAATTTTATTCTCAAAAAGTTAGAAAATAATATAAAAACCTTCAGGCTGTAAAATCGATGATTCTGGTCAATCCGGACAGATTTTCTTTAAAAATATTTTGGTTTACTTTTTCAAGTCAAATATATTCACGTTTCAAAAGTTATTAAAAAGTCAGTATGATTCCAAAAATATATAAATTAGTAAAGTCTGTAAAATAGGTGATTCTGGACAATCCCGACAGATTTAAAAAAAAAAATTGGATTTTTTTTTTCTTATATTTAGGTGGTCACTATGGGAAATTTCAAGTCAAATGTATTAACGGTTCAAAAGTTATTCATGTATGTATGAACAAAAAGTATAAAGATTAGTAAAAATCCTCAGTCTGTAAATTAGACGATCCTGGTCATTCCCAATGGATTTTTTTAAAAAAATTTCCGAATTTTATTTTCTTATAGTTGGTGGCTTTCTGTGAAAAATTTCAATTCAAATGTATTAACGGTTCAAAAGTTATTCAAAACTAAATAATACTCTCATTTTCGGTGCCATAGCAAATTTTCCATACTTAAGCCCTATACCTTTTGTCAAAAAATCATCATTTTTTCCACTACAAAAAGTTCAATTACTTTTGATTCGCTTAACTTCAAAGGCCGAATGATCCATCATTTTTTAAGTCATGCCAAGCTCTATACAATGACATCAATTATAATTGAATATTTAAATTACTAAAAAATTGTCTGGAATGGCTAACTCTGCGCAAAGATATTGTTTATCACGGTTTGTATTTTAGAGATCGAAGTCTGACAAAAGGGCATACAAACATTAAAAAATATATATAGTACCCCCTTGCCTTGGAGAAGTAAAAAAAAAAAGAGCAATAATTATTTGGTATTATTGACTGTTACCGTTGTGTGGGGAACTAGTTATCTAATTACTAATAAACAATGGAACAATAGTATTAATATTATTTGGAAATACTCAATAAACAGAAAACAATTTACTTTTTTTTAACAATCAGATTAAAATAAAAAAATATATTTACAAAGCTTTAATGAATATACCATTCAACGAGCGTGCTTTACATGGTTTCAAAGAAACGGTCGTGGGGTCTGTAACCAGTTTTTATATATCTCTATTGGGGGAATTGATGTTGGACGAACAATGTTGAACTGTTTCTTATTTTCTTCTTGATCAGCAATCCCTGATGTTACAACCAACTCTTTTTGCGTTTCTTCTTTCTTCATAAAATTTATTTTAGCCCATTCTGACATTTCCAATCTTGGCTGTTCACTAAAAACTCGTTTATTGGACTGTCCAAAATAAATCTCTTGCATATCCGCAAAGTTTGCAGCCATGGTATAATTAGATTCCTCGACGTTACGTGAACTATTATCGTTGATATTACTATTAGCATAAACGTCTTCCCTTAACATAAAAGCATCATGAGCTACATTAAGATTTAAACGAGACATATCATTTCTATATTCTGATTCTCTGTGCGACCAAAGGTTGTAACTCATTTGATTAGTTGACATGCCCGGATAAATCATATTTGAATCATTACTTTGCATATTTAAAGTATATTCAGTTGGGTAGAGTGGAAGGTTTCCCATCACATGAGAAAACTGAGGATTTGAAAATGTTGGCAAAGCACAGTTAGACCATTGAGAATTGTTTACAGGTACACATGTTGGTAGTCCTCCGTATGAAGAACTGCTTTGAGTAAACTATAATAAAGCAAGACTATTTCTTATGAAAACTTTACTAGAAAAATAACAGAGCTTTTTCAAAAAAAACATTTAACAGTTTTACAATTTAATGAAAAAATAAATTTAACAAAAGTAAAGTGGAGTTTTTAAAGGATTTTTTACCCATCTTTAAAAAATATACATGCGACTTTTAGCTTGTACAAAAAAAAACCGGTATTGTTGGGGTTTAAAACGCTTTAAAATATAAGTATTTAATGCTATACGTGTCGTGAAAAGCATTTCTAAATTTAAAGTAACACCCAATTTTTACATTAACTAATAATTAACAAAAGTTATAACAAGAATCAATCTACAACATAAACACCTAGGTCAATGATTCCGTGATTCCGTAACATTGTAATTTATTAATTCTGGTTAATTATAATAATTAAAATAAGTTATTTTTGGGCACCTTGAGTAATTAATTAGTTTAGACATCATTATCTGATAAAACATTTTAATATCATTTTAGACATTTAAAAAGAATCAAAATTTTTACTTCACTATAATAAAGTATGAGCTTGAGTAAATATGATTTTAGTATTAAATAAATTATTTTTTAAACAGCTATTGTATTATTGTTTCATCGTACATTCTATTAACAAAAAATATTTTACGTTACTTTACGTGATGAGGTAAGTGTAATAAGAAAATCAGGAACATTGGAATATAAACTGTAAAAATAGAAAGGTGCGGAAAATTTTTTTAAATGTGTGGTTAAGTTATAAATTTTTCAAAATTTTTTATTTACCAAACAAGTTATTACGATTAAATTTTAACTCTTTTCTTTTAAGATTTTTTTTTTATTTTAGAGATAATATATATGATTTTATAAAAAAAATTTACACTAAAATCAACGAAATATTTTTAAAGTGAAATAATAATAAGTGAAATCTATTAAATATTTGGCATTCAATCATCTATCTTATACCACTGCAAGCAGTAACCATTTTAGAAAAAGTCCTCGCATCAACTCATTATCCATACTCTTTGACTATAAAGCTTCAATCATCAACACAGCTTAACTACTAAGGCATTAATAGACCCATAGAATTGTGCAGATTAAATTTAGAAAATAACTTTTTGGCTGTCTCTAAATGTTTTTGACATTAAATTGTTGAATAAAGAAAGACAGCTTGAAACAGTTAGGCAGATAACAGATTCGTGCAATAAACATGCATTTTATCTTTATACTTAAATAAAGTGGTCACTTTTTTGAGTTTATTCATGAATAAATGATAATGCAATATAAAATGTTTAAATTTGTTTATATTGTGTACGGTTATTAAGGTGCTCCCAAAAGTCCTTACTGTCTATTCACAGAGTACTGCGGAAGATATACCGTCACGATCATTTCACAATCACCTAAAGTCATTTTGGGTGGTTTTGAGTTATTAGCTGAAATGTAGAGTCAAAGAGATATAGCAGAAAAGAGAATGAAGAAAAAATACGCCATTTTTCAAGGAACCTTCTTGTAATAACAATTTTCAATAAAATTGGAATGTGAATGTTAATCATTCACATTCCACCTTTAAAAAAACTAATTAGATAGTTTTTCAACAACATCATTAATGATATTGTTTAAAAACGTCATAAACAATCATTGCAAATAAAAGATAAAAGTATAGAAAAATTGATAAACAACATTTACTGATTTAGAGTTAGTTCATAGTTGTTTTTTGTTTTATTTCTTGAAACGACTATTATGAAATTTCTAGATTAGAATTAAATTAATAAACCTAGATTAAAATTGGAAATACTTTAATCGTTTTTTAAATACCTCGATAGAGGTATTCAAAAAACGATTACTTTTCGTAAATCGTGATTTTTGTGCGATTACTTCAAGGTTTCGAACAGCTGTTAACAACTTATCAAGTCAACTTTTAAAAGAGTAACTTCGATTACAGTTTCCAAACTCCGATTCATTTAGTTTTTTTTAAGTAGTATGATTATTAAGGAATACTAAGGTTTTACCAGATTTTAAAAGATTTATCTCAAGTGTGCTGAGACGACAAACAATATCACTATAATTTAGGGAAGTAACAATAAAAAAATCAAACCTAACATGATGGTCCACAACAAAGTAAGCACAGATCGTTTTTAAAACGTTTAGAAAACGTTAAAAACCGTTTTAATAGGTTTTTTAAACGTTTTAAAAACGTTCTGTGCTTACTGGGAAGAAATAATTCTACACTAGCTATAAAGTTACGCTTTTTAGATATAGTCTAGGCTTAAACTAAAATTTTGAAAGGAGAAAAACAAATTGAAGATCTAATATTATAGGACAAAATATTAAACTTTGAATTTTTTTAATTCTGTATCACATATTAATGAATGTAAATTGCTTCAAAAAATTTACAAAGAAAGTTCTTAGATCTAAACAAAGCGGCCGCATTATCTAATATAAAATCTTTTAACCTTATTTTCAGATAACCTATAGATAATCTGAAAGTCGAGTTAAAAGCAATTAGGCCAAATTACGATTTATTTAAGTTATAGGTTATTTTTATTTGCATTAAGTGGCAAATCAAACCAACTTTTAAGTTTAAAAGACAATCCAAATATAAAAAACGTTTTGATAAGTCACTAAACTTTATGGCTGTAGCCTAATAAACAACATTCTTCAGAAAAGACGCGCGAATCCGCTAGTTAAATACTCTTACGCAATGTTATTTGATAAAACCGTAGGACTTCTGGACCAAAACAAAAGTAAAACATTAGAGTTAGGTAACTGCTGAATTTGCGAATAAGAAGACAAGTAAAAATCATATTTAAGGCAGTTAAATCAATAAAAAATTTCTTAGGATATTCTTCAATTTTTTTTTCTATTCTTGATCGCATTTTCTTAATTACTACGTCTGAAGATAGTATAGCTGTTATAAATATAAAAATAGTGTCATAAGAGGTCGTCCTCAAATTACGTCACGCACTTTTGACCGTTTATGACACCTCCCCCTTCCCTCGTCACAACATCGTGACTCTTTAATAATAAATCATAAAACCACTAACCCTTCCCCCACCCCCTAATGCGTCGCGTAATTAATGGTGAAGTAAAGTTAGTTTTTCATATTAAGCATGTTTACCTTAAACATAATTTCAATGTTTGTTCTTTTTTATAATTATTTGGAGCAGATCTTTATCCAATTATAAAATAATTACTTTTTATATACTTAATCGTCTTTTATAAACTAGATATAAAAAGCAATTATTACATATTTTATTTTTAAATTTAATTTAAAAGTTTTGAAGGGGAGGGTCCCGTCACTTTTTTGTGCGGGTTAGGGGGGGTATATGATTAGATTTATAGTTACGCATCTGGCTTTCCTTTCAGTCTATAATACTTCTTTTGTATAGTTTACAATACTATAACCACGTGACTTTCTGACTGAGAGGATACTATATTACACGACAAATCACCTATATTTGAACCGATCAAAAAATAGTTTTTTTCATGTTTACTTTTTTCCAATTTTATTTGGTTTTCTCAAAACATGAAATAACGACTAAAGCAATTGTAAAATGATCGTGAAGATATACATTTTTGCAATAAGTTTATTAAATCCGTATTTTATTCCCAATCGAATTAAAATCAAAACAATCGAATCAAAAAACAAAACAAAAAAAAACGGACGACAACAGTTTAAATAAGTATTTAATTTGCACGTGCAAATGATGTTTATATTGTGTACGGTTATTAAGGTGCTCCCAAAAATCCTTACTGTCTATTCACAGAGTACTGCGGAAGATATACCGTCACGATCATTTCACCATCGCCTAAAGTCATTTTGGGCGGTTTTAGTTATTAGCTGAAATGTAGAGTCAAAGAGATATAGCAGAAAAGAGAATGAAGAAAAAATACGCCATTTTTTAAGGAACCTTCTTGTAATAACAATTTTCAATAAAATTGGAATGTGAATGTTAATCATTCAAATTCCACCTTTAAAAAAACTAATTAGATAGCTTTTCAACAACATCATTAATAATATTGTTTAAAAACGTCATAAGCAATCATTGCAAAAGAATAGAAAAATTGATAAAAAACATTTACTGATTTAGAGTTAGTTCATAGTTGTTTCTCAAAACATGAAATAACGACTAAAGCAATTGTGAAATGATCGTGAAGATATACATTTTCGCAATAAGTTTATTATATCCGTATTTTATTCCCAATCGAATTCAAATCAAAACAATCCAATCAAAAAACAAAACAAAAAAAACGGACGACAAGAGTTTAAATCAGTATTTAATTTGCACGTGCAAATGATGTTTATATTGTGTAGGTGTATTATTCTGTGTATTGTAAACAACAGTTTAAATATGTAAATGGGTATTTAAACTGTTGTTTTCCTTTGTTTTTGTTATTATAATTTAGTCTTAACAACAGTTAAAATTAATTTAAGATGTTAAACAGAAAAAATATAAATACACAACCAACAAAAAAACAAATATAATAATAATATGTTAATAAAACAGAAATAATATTTAAAAAAGTACAGTAAAAACATTAAAAAAAAAAAATTTTTGTTTTGTTATTATAGATCCAATTTAAGAAAAACATTAAAAAAAACAAGAAACATAACTTAAAAACATAACACTTTATTAAAAAAAAATTAAACTTTTTCCAATATTTGTTTTTTTAAACTTGCACCATAACTGGAAATATCTGAAATACTAAATTATACTAAATCCGCCCATTACTGAGGCAAAAAAACTATAATTATAATTATTATTACTATAATAATAGCAATAATAATAGTAATAATAATAATACTAATAATAACAATAATAATAATAGTAGCAATAATAGTAATAATTATTATTACTATATTTATGCAATAAAAGGTAATTTTAAATTAAATTTACGGAAAATTTAATATTCTTAAACTCACCGATTCTACAGGAGAGACGCCAATATCCTTACATAGTTCAATATCGCAAGGTTGATTAACACAAGTGTTTTGATGAAACTCACATAGCTTAAGAACAAACTGCTTTGTTTTGCATATATAATTGTTATTTTTACAAAATCGCACATGCTGTAAAATAGATTTCATATTTTTGCACAACAAGAAGTCGCATTTAATTTCGCAGATATCAGCATGTATCAGTCCTCTAAATAGAAAATTTTTTGCTACTGTACACTTGTTTACTCCACATTGATCTGAGCTAGAAGCAGGACATTTTAAAGCGTGTCTAAGAGCGTTAAAAAGTATTGGATCAACACTATTCACAGTTAGGGGTACTTTTTCAGGAAAGTTGTGAATAAATAAAGGGTTTGGTGTCATATCTTTTGGTTTGCTGACACTGATTGACACGTCAGCCAGAGTTTCATCAACTTCTTCTTTTGTTTTCTTTTTGACCTTTTGATCCTCAATATTTCTAGAACTGCTAGATTTTGATGAAAAAAATTTCTTTTCGCTACTATGATTTAAAGGACTATATTTTTCTTTTTCGTTGTTATCTGTCTTCACATCGGTATAATTTTCTATTACTCTGCATTCTTCTGTTGTGTCTTCTAGTCCACGCAATGCAAACCGTTTTCTTTCTCGAGTTTTTGATCTCGTTTCTAGTTTTACGTCCATTTTTTAAACGCTTTGATTTTAATTAAAACAAGTAATTTGCTAAATTAAATTAGAAATGAAAAGCTTTATCGAACAAACGCATTCGAAATAAGAATAGAACATATTTATATAAATTATTTGGACACCCGTATATGGAGCGAATAAAATAAACCGAACCAACGCTCAACAAACGCTTTAAAAAAATGTTTTTTACAAAAGAAACATGGAGCAAATATTTATATAATATAATTATAACAATTACATTAAAAACATTTTTGAAGGCAACTTTTTGAAAAGTTTTCTCCGCGTATTAAATTCGTAGTAAAAAAAAACATTTTATTGAATAACTATTTCATGTAATTAAGGAAACGTTTTGCATATTTTGTCTTGATCATTTTTTTAGTCCAAATGCTAAACACAATTTAAAATTATTTTTTGTTAAAACTAGTTGGCGCCATTTAAGGGAAAAAACTGTAAATACTCTTTATAGCAAATATTAAAATGAATTAAAAAATTCAGTCTATTTTTAAATGATATTTTAAGAATTAGCACTCAAGAAAAGAAATTATACTACTTATTAAGTGACATTAATTTAGCTTGTTTTCAAAACGAAACTAATTGTGGGTTAAAAATTTTTATAATGATTTATTTGAACATGGAGCGTTTCCGTTAATTAATAAACCAACTAGAATAACTGAGACATTAGTTACCTTAATAAAAAAATATCATTTCAACTGATAATTTTTAATAAATCTCTTTAAAACAAAATTATATGTGACATCTCTGATCACTTCCCAATTTTTTTCTCAATTAACATTGCCACAGCAAAAATACCCCAACAGAATGTAACGTTTACAAAACGCTTTTTTACTTCAGCGAATTTAAATTCATTCAAAGAACAGTTATCCCTACTGCATTGGAAAAACGTAAATGCTTCTGCAGACGCAAATGTACCTTACGACGCATTCTTTAAAATTTTTTATAAAACATGCGACGTAAATTTTCCAAAATGTACTGTAATTTAAAAAAATAAAGGTTTAATGTCACCGTGGATCACAAAAGATCTCAGAAAATCTTCTAAAATTAAGCAAAAATTATATATTAAATACAAAAACACAAGAAAGATTCTTTACAAAAATTATATATTGAAAACAAAAACACAAGAAAGATTCTTTACAGAAACTATGTCAGAAAGTTTGAAACACAAAGAAAGAATTTGAAAAACTGTACTACTCCAATCTACTTAAAATGAACAAACATAATTCTAAACGCACCTGGGAAATTCTAAGAGAAGTTACTGTCTTAGAATTTCCCAGAATTTCTATCTTACCAATTATCGCCCAATCTCTGTTTTACTTATTTTTTCTAAGGTGTTAGAGAGAATCCTATATAACGTAATTTATAATCACCTTTCTTTAAATAATATACTTTATACTAATCAATACGGGTTCAAAAAAAATACATTAAAAGAACACGCGATACTCCATATAACTCTTAGTATTTCTGAATCGTTTGAAAATACGTTGGGAGTTTTCATAGATTTATCAAAAGCTTTTGATACAATCGATTACCAAGTTCTCCTTAAAAAAGTTAAATATTATGGAATTAAAGGAAACGTTTTAAAATTACTTTAAAGTTACTTAAGTAACCGCAAACAGTTTGTTTATAGTAATGAAGTTAACCCATCTAATTTATTAAACATAACCTGTGGGGTTCCGCAGGGGTCGATATTAGGACCCCTTCTCTTTCTCATTTATATTAATGATCTTCATAAAGCTTCTAATTTGATGTCCCGACGGGCATTTGTTTTTAAAAATTACGATCTAAATGTATTTTAAATGTCTTTTAAACGTCTTTTAAACAATAATGTTTAAAAGACGTTTAAAAGACGTTTAAAAGACGTTTAAAAGACGTTTAAAACACATTTAGAACGTAACTTTTAAAAACAAATGCCCGTCGGGGTCAGTCATGTTTGCCGATGACACTAACCTCTTTTTGTCTGATAATACCATAACTACATTATTTCAAGATATGAACATGGAATTAACAAATATATTTGATTGGTTTAAAATGAATAAACTTTCACTAAATGTTGAAAAAACAAAATGGACATTTTTTCATCCACCGTCTAAAAAAAAACTACTTCCTTGTGAACTACCTTTACTTTTTATTGATAAAATCCAAACAAAAAAAGTAATTAGTGCTAATTTTTTGGGTATCTATGTTAATGAAAACATTAGTTGGAAATATCACATTGAATTCTTGTGTAATAAAGTTGCTAAAAGTATAGGAATATTTTATAAAGCTAGAGGTGTGTTAAATAAACGTAGTCTAATTCAATTATGTTTCTCTTTTATCCATTGTCATTTAAACTTTGCAAACATTGCTTGGTGCAATGTCAATAAATGTAAACTGGAGCCTTTTTATCGTCAACAGAAGCATGTTGCTCGTCTTATTAATTTTAAAAACAGATTTACTCATGCCAAGCCTCTTTTATTTGAAATGAAAATTCTTAATATATATCAACTGAATGTTTTTAATATTCTTTATTTTATGTATAAATGTAAAAGTAACTCTTCGCCAGTTTCTTTCCATAATTTATACACGCTGATATATAAAAATAAATACAATTTAAGAAATGATTAATCCGTCAACCATTTTTTCAGACTAATTTTGGAAAACCTAGAATTTCTTTTCGAGGAGCTTTTCTTTGGAATAAAATAGTTTTAAAACATTTTGATTTTTTGGTGCAATGGAGTTATTTTTCATTGAGAAATAAGCTTAAAGAAATCAATTTGTCACATGATGATATATTGTCATATTTTTAAGCGTTATTAATTTGATGTATTATTTTAGTTTATGTTTATTCAGTTGAATATTTATAAGAACATGCACTTAAAATCGATTAACTATATATGCACTTGACTTTGTATATATATTGAATTTTATGAAGTTTTATTTTACGAGCGGTTCTTGATGAGAAGACCTAATGGTCTCTTGCGAGTCTCTTCTTTTTATATTAACAAAAAAGTCTTAGTTTCATCTTTTATTTATTTCTCATTAAGTAACGTTTTTAACAATCTAATTGTAAATTTTTACTAACAATCTCATTAAAAAAAAAAGAAAATTTATATTTTACAAAATATCAAACAGTACAAGCTGGAAATTTTAACATCTGCTATCAGGTTTCTTCTAAAAAGTTTTTCTTTCTTAATGAAAAAAAAATAATAAACGGTTCTTGAAAAAAATAAGTCGGGGGAGGGTAAGGGCACGTGCCCAACAGCCCATTAACGTTTCAGCTACGGAGGCAATTTTAAAATGCACTGTCATCAGAATCACACAAATACTGAAAGTTTCAGAGCTCTAGCTACCCATTAAATATGTCGAAATGGTGTCACCCGGTGCGGCCTACACCTCCCTAATGACGCCACCGGTAATAAAAAATTCGATATTTAGGTACAGATAACTTGAAATTAAGAACCAGATCGCAGAATATAATTACAATTTTTCTTATAATTAAAAAAGTTGATGCATGTAAGAAGTAGGCTGTTATGACTTTGGCTCCAAACAAATAGGCAATTTGATATTTAATTTCAAGAACTTTAGAATTTAAAAATAGAGTATGATACAGTTCAAATTAGTATGTTAAATAAACTAACTATTGGAGATACGTTAGTCGCACAGCAAGCTGCTTAAATTGTCCCTAAACATGACAAAAAAAAAAAGGGAAAAGTTTTAAATAAGTTATCAAAACAATTTGCAGTTTTCTTTTGTTACATTTATTTGTTTAAAGTGAAAGTTAAAATAGGTAAGCAGAGCCGTTCTTAGGGTGGCGCGATTGGAGCAGCCGCTTCAGACCTCGCGGTTAGGAAGGTCATCCTAAACACGAGAAATCAAAACTTTTACTTATTGTTAACGAGAGTAAGGCCTCGCGCAGCAACGCCTTATTCTTGTTAATAAATAAAAGGCGTTGCCAAAAATATCTAATTACCCGCGTAATTATTTATTAATTAAAAAATTATCAACTTGATTCTCCTTTGTATGTGATAATAGCGAACAAAAAAAATGCAAATCATTGTTCGAAGCTCTTCCGTTTAACGGCTATAAAATACTTTTTTAAAGAGTGAAAAAGCTAAACAAAAAATGAATAGATCAGGCGAAAGTTTCATTTTGTTTTTCATTACTAAAAAAGAAGAAAAAGCAAAATATCTAAAAAGAAGAAACGAGAACGAATTAAATGAAAGAATTTAAATTCAAATTCAAAAGTAACGTAAGTAAAATAAAGTTAATAAAAAAGTTAAATAAAAAAAGGTAAAAAATGAATAGGTTGCACACCGGATTTTAGTCATAAAGATCAGTTATCATAGGTCATGCGATTAGTAAAAATTAGTATGAATGCAACTTTTCCCAAGAGGGAAAATGAAGATGTAACCATCAAAGAATTAAAAGTAAAATATTTAGGATTTAAAGTAAAATATTTACAATGTCCATGGATTACTATGGGTATAAAAAAATATTCAAAAAACAAACAAAAACTTTACATCAAGTATTTAAAAAATAGAAATGAAAAAAATCTAAATACTTGCAAACAATACAAAAATTTATTTGAAAAAACAAAAAAAAGTTTGAAGACAAATTACTACTCTAACCAAATAAAAAATGCAACTGGTGACATTAAAAAAACATGGAATACGATAAAAGAAATAATTGGGAACAAAAAAGTTAAACCAAATAGTTTACCTGCTCAAATCATCATAGACAATATAGAGTACAGTGACAAAAATACGATTGCTGAAAAATTCAACGAATTTTTTGTTAATATTGGCCCTAACCTTTCCTCAAAAATTAAGTCTCCTAATAATTTATTTAAATCATACCTAAGTGATATCCAGAGCGAACTAAACTACAAAGAACAAAACTACCAAGGACTTAATATTGCTCCTTAAAATTATTAATACAGGTATTGATGATACCTGTAGTAGGGTAGTGGCAAATGTCTTTACAACAATAAATAAACCTAT